TTTGCTCAAATGCTTTATGACGGGTCGCTTGTCGGCAATCCGTCCATGGGAGCTTGAATGCTTTCACAAATTACTTTTGAGCATACCGAGGGGCTATAATGGCGTCTGGTCGTGCGGTCAACATATTTTGTTCCATAGGAGCAAGTGAAAGAGTAAATACAGAAATAAGCAGCACAATCTTCTTCAATCGTAGACATCAACGAATGAAGATGTGAATCGGGTTAGGAGCTTGGCTGCGTAGAGCGTTTTGTTGATGGCATTTGATAGCCTTATATACAAAATCCCTGCCAAGGTGTCGCTTCTAAACGGTAAAGAGCCGTATACTGATTTAGAACCTGAACGTTTAGATTAACCCATTCGGTTTCTCACAGGCACCATCACACACTGCTGACGAGTCCCAAACAGGACGAAATAGCTGTCCAGTGCTATTGTCGGTTATCACAAACATTTCCACTGTATTTAGATATGTACTTACTTTTTCTCAGTAATGACCCTCTTTGGAAACCGACAATATGGTCCTAAGTAGTTCAAATTCCATGACATTTTCCAATCAATACCAAATCACTCGTCACGAATCATGAAGGTGTAAAATCAAGTACATGGATAAGTTGAAAATGAACCCACATCAACCGTCCCGTGTTGATCGAATGGTGGGTTGATAGGGTTTTAATGACTATCAAAACTTTCTTGTACTTAGTAACCAGGTCGCTCGGAATTCATAGTGTATTGAAATCGAGATAACATCACTCAAAGATGCTGTTCCACTACTAGAATGTCTTTCACTACTTGTGTCGTTGTGATGTGAGATGAGCTTGACACCGAGTGCATATATATAGTTGACCGTGACAGGGCGGCTCTGACTGATCTACTTTTGCAAATCGATTGTTTAACGTGAGCACAGAGCTCATGCAGTAGAGAGTGAATAATGTGCATGCAAGACGAATTTCCTCTAGTGCTATACGGTCAATGATTACGAAAACTATCAGATGAAATACGTGAAAAAATAGGAGCGTTTTCATATCAAATGTCACAAATCGCAAATGGTTGTGCTACGCAAGAACAAAGTTTAATAAATACATAAATTTTAACTTAAGCCACAATACACAAGCAGAATAAATATACATTCTTGTAATTAATTGCAATTAATGGAGGATAAAAGCTATTCGAAATTTCAGTGAATCTTGTCTGACAAATGGTAAGTTCAATGTTATTGGTATATGTCAAAAGTGCTTGAGTTTTGTCTTTGTGCCGGGACCTGGACTGCGTAATTCCCATTGGCGAGGTTTCTATAGAACTGTAGAAATTATACTAGTTGCGCTAGGCACAAATCACGAATCACGAATTACGAATCACAAATCACGGAAGCAACTGAGACTCTAAATCGCATTAACACTTGCACGCTGATATTGCCCGTCATTAAATCGCAAGAAAAGGCAACATAATTGAAAATTGCTTTATTGAAAGAAATCAAGAGAATTAAATGACAAAAAAAGTTTATTGGTTATCCAGGTATCTGCCAATCGCATGCTTGTATTTTTGACGTGGTACAGCTTCTGTCTGGACCACACGACTTTTGATTGGCCAGCAGGATGCGCCTGTGGTTCGTTGTCCAGTTGCTATAACGCGTAGGCTCTTAACTGGCGTCACCTGGGAACGTTGGCACATCACAGTTGTCCGGAAACCGTAACGCGTCGCTCCATAGTTGACGTTATCCAGTAGGCTAGGACCACCACAGAAATGCGTGAGGTGATTTCTTCGACAGTGGTACCATCAGTTGTCCAACAACTATTTGTGCGAGAGAAGCATCTAGCGAAACTTTCCCTTCATTTTTGAGATTGAAGCACGTGACTAAAGCTAAAGGATATGATTAAAGCACGATATAGAAGAGGAAACTTATAGATCAGGTGCAACTACAGATTTCGAAAGAAGTAAATAGGGATTAATACGTTGTAATGATCGTAGTAGTAGTAGGAGTAATTGTAATACGCACGGAATTCGGAACACGAATCACGCAACAGGAATCACGGGACACGAGGCAAGGATCACTTATCACGGACTGGATCACGGAAGCACTGGACCGCAACGGCACGAACTCGCAATATTCCACGTGAAAGAGACGCGAGAAAAAGGCCACAAGAATGGCAGTTCGTTTATTGGAAGGAATGAGGGCGATTAAATAATATGTACAAGAGAAGATGATTGGTTATCTAGGCTTCCACCAATCGGATTGCAGTACTGCTTGTATAATTCTGCTTCTGTCTGCACGGTTTCGGATTGGCTGGCACGTTACCCGTTCCGGCTATCTTACCGCTCTATGGACCGGCTATAATAAACGTACTGACTAATTCACTGTGCGCTTATCTACCTACTTAACCGGGAATACAACACTCCGTTTCTGTTCAACGTTGTCATAGATTATTTATTACAAAAAGTGTTACTTTATGCAGCGAACCTTCAAATTGAACTGCATCTTGGAGACGTACTCTCGGACCAAGATTATGCTGATGACACTGTCTCGCTCGGCGACAATAGGTTGGCAACGCAAGACACTCTAAGCCGCCCAATGACGGAGGTTGATTGATATGGTACCAAGTGTCAGATCTTTGTGTAACATCCTTTGAAGTATTTATCCGCCTTTTGTAGATGTTGGATTCCTAAAAGTTGTGAACGTCCTCTACCTGTCGAGGGATAGATAAGGCAATCTTCCAATGCATGATTAAGGTAATATTAAGGTAATATATCTGCGACATCTCCGTTGCTGGTGTGAACTAGTCGCTCCGTTGGAAGTACGTGGGTATAACAAAACAGTAAGGAAAGAAAGAAATCAGAGTAATTAAGTAATATGTACAAAACAAGTTCATTGGTCAGTAGGGCCTCTGCTAATCGCGTGCTAGTACTTCTGCCGTTGTTTTGCTTCTGTCTGCGCCGCACGATTTCTGATTGGTTGGTACAATCGACCTATGGTATGTAATCCACAACCTGTGACACGTACGCGCATTGCTAACGTCACCTGGGAAGTTTGGTTCATTACGATTGTCCGAAAACTGCGACGTGTCGTTCCGTTGTATGCATCATCTCGTAAGCCAGGATCACCACACTTGTACAACGTGTTTTTATCTCGGTAGTGCTCTCAGCGTTTTACCCCGATTACTTAGACTTCTCGATTGTTGCAGCTTCTTCCTTCGTGGAAATTGCCTTTGCAATTATATTTTCAATGAAATTTAGCAAAAGAATCACAGAAGATAGAAAAAAAATGTTGGACCGAAACAAGCAGAAGACAGAACAACGTTATTCAGTTAGATTTTACCGTACATCAGTACCGTAAAATTAAACCGAATCCCAACCGTCAAGCATGGTTTGCCAATCCGCCCCGAAATCGACACTAAACTGACTTAGCCGGACTTCAAAGTCAGTCACATTTTGATGCAATCTGAGGATTTGATCACAATCATTTCTTTTGACTGCAGAGACTTGGCCACTACGAGAAGAGGATAAAAAGAGATTGTCGGTGTTTGAAGATCGCTGTCTACGTCGCATTGCACGAGTCTGGTGGGGTAACCGGACGAGCAATGCTGAGATTAGGCGTAGAGTTTTTGGCAGTCCCAGTAGTCCACTGGAGAAAGTGATCGACCTCCGTGGATTACGTTGGTTAGGGCACGTGTTACGTATGTCACCTGATGGGTCGCGACGGCGAGCGATGACTGGTCAAGAACCTAGTGGGTGGAAAAAGCCAAAGGTGCTCAAGCTAAGACCTGGCGTGAGGTTATGAAAACCCTAACCAAGAATCTGCGTCATATAGGTCCCGTTAGGCTTCCTGGATGAGGTCCTCGGGACAATCGTAATCGATGGTTAGAGACACAGTGATATGGTTGAGTGTCGTAAACAGTGGCGTTCGTGCATCTTTTCAATTTCTCTGCAACGGTAGTCCACCGAAATTCTCCGATTTCTGTTTGATTCTACTTTCAACTTTCCTGTCTTTCTCCTACTCTTCATTCTAATGGGCAGCTAAAGTCAGTAGCCGAAACGGCCGCAAGAAAGCGCATGGTTACTGATTGTCCGAAATTAAACTGAACCGAATTCAGCGTTTGTTTCAGGTCAGCTGCTACCGTTGATTTCGTTTCAGGTATGTAGGTTATTTATATATATTTATATGTCATCATCATCATCATCATCAACATTGTACAGCGTAATACAGTGAAGCGAACTTCACTCATCGCTGCCAAACTCGTAATGCATACAAGATAAGTGAGAATGTTTGAGGAGGACAGGGATTGGGCCTATTTTCAGGGACGAGAAAAGAAAGCAAACCTCTATGGTCAACACACAGAGTACTCAGCCCAACTGTGCATACGTACCATTTCAAGCATTCTGATCTGATAAGAAGTGATAGCAAGATCGCCATTACAATCGGTTCGCATCCATGACCTTCAGTGTCTCCAACCATGCGGTTTCGGAGTCTTTTGGACCCCAACCCGGAGGACGAGAGACA